AGTGTTCTTTCTACTAGATGGAGAGCTGGTTTCAGTCTGAGGCATAGATGACAGAATGCTTGCCTTGGAGTCAAGAAGGCCTGGGCTGAAATCCCATCTCTGACACTTACTAGCTATGTGACCATGGGCAAATCACTTACTTAACCTCAACAAGCCTCAGTTTTCCCATCTGTAAAATGGGGAGAAGGATATCTGCCTTCCCTTTTAATACATAACTTATGGGATTATTCAGATGAGATGATGTTTCTATATCCCCAGTGCCTTGCCTGTAGTAGACACTTAATAAACACTCATTGAATTTAACTGAATAATTAAAGCGAAGCATTTTACAGTGCTCATGTGTACTATGTAAATGTCAATTATTAGGATTGTTCCACAGTTAGTTCCCATCCCCAGTGTGCTTCAAGGTAAATTCCCCATATGTGGAAGTCCTAGTAAATGTGGTAAAATGTGGTATCCATTGGCTGAACACCAATCAGCGGTCTGGACCCTGGGGAGAACTTAGGACAGAAGCTAGGGTTGGCACTTCCTCCCACTAGAGCAGGGGTGGGGAACCCGCAGCCTCAAGGCCACATGTAGCCCTTTAGGTCCTCAAGGGTGGCCCTTTGACTGAATGTGAAGTTTGGGCCTCCCTCGAGGCTGCAGGTTCTCCACCCTCCTACTAGATGAAAAGCAGCCTAATCTCCAGGGAAGTAGGTCGTCTTTATTGATAGCCCTGTGTTGCTTTCTAGGCATTTTTATTTTTTACTGCCTCAGGATTAAAGAAGGAAGGGCCATACAAACTGGGAAAACTCCATGGCCTTGGGAGACAGAGTCATATACTATTAATCAGATTTAAGTAAGGGGAATAGCATAAGCCACTGAGAGGCTGGGGTCCAAGAGAGGCTGTGGCCAGGGAAGCTCCCCAGCATAATTTACAGGGGTTTAAGGAACGCCTAGCAGGTTACAAAGACTATCCCTGCCCTCAAGGAGCTCACCTGCTAGTCAGAGGGGTAAGATTACCATACAGGAAAGAAATAATGAATACAAGACCGGGCAGCACACAATCCAGTATTGTTAAATCTCCGGATGCCAATAAAAAGGGGAAATTCTGAAAAGGGAGGGGCTCCCTATGGACTGCCTGGAGGAGGTGGCTGTTTGAAAGAGCTTGTCTCCTAACCCACATCCTCTACAAAGCAGAGGAAGGAGCCCAAACCAAGTGGAATTCCATACGAGAGCAGCCCCATCAAGCACACAGATAACAACCAACTGGCCTCTTTGGACAGCATTAACAAAATGCACCTGAAATTCATTTCCACTATTTACTCTTAAAAAAGAGAATTCTTTGCACACAAAAGGTTTATTCTCTTTTAGAACTATATGAAGTATTAATACTCTAATAACTTTGTTTTTGCTTCAGTTACAAATTCATTTTTACCTTCTTTTTTCCTAGTTGTGTGACCAGTATAATTAAAAGAGTGCTGGACTGGCCTTCAAAGGACCTTGCTCTGAGTTCCAGCTCTCTTACTTACTACCTGCATCATCTTGGGCTTATCCTTTCCGGGTCTCAGTTTCTTCATTCTTAAAATTAGGGGGTTGGACTAGATCGTTTCTGAGGTTCTTTCTATCTATAAATCTCTGATCCTATAGACTATGCTATGGCTTTAGTCAAGTCACTTAATCTTCATGAGCCTCAGTTTCCCCATCTGTATAATAGAGGTGCTGGATTAGGTAACTTCTAAGGTCTTCCAGCTTATAGTTTATAAGCTCTGCTTTATAATTTCTAGCTTTAAACCCATGATCCTAAGACATCCAATAACTTTGGGCAAATCCTGTAACCTGATTTATAAAATGGCAAAATAGTTGCATGATATACCTCATTATGAAAAATTACTTAGTAAGTGGGGACTAGACCCTAGGTTTTCTATCTTCAAGTGCTATATGCTTTGTATGACTGAGAAAAGGCTTGTCAAGCTCCCTATGAAACTGGGCCCTAGAGACAGTATGACTTTCAGTCAACCGAACAATGGAAATCCTCACCAAGGTGAAATTAAAAATCATGGAATCATAGTTTTGGCGTTTGTACGGACCTCAGAGATGACCTCGTCCAACCCGTACCTGAACAGGAGTCTTCTTCCTCCCCCATAACATACTTGATAAATAGTCATCTAGCCTCTGACTGAAGATGTACAGTGCAGGGGGACCCAGGAACTAGTGACCTCCTAAGACAGCCCATTTTACTTCTGGATGGCTCAAACTATTGGGAAGATTTTCCTTAGATGGAGCTGAAACCTGCCTCCTATTTTGCTCCTATTTTGATCATCTGCGGTTCAGAAGAATGTCCAGTCCTTCTTCTGCGAAATAGACAGTGATCATGTTTCCATTAAGTCTTTTCTTCTCCAAAAGTTTCTTTAAGTAATCCTTGGATGCTTGGCATGGTTTTCAGTCTTCTCCCTATTCTAGCTGTGTTTCTTAAAATGTGGTATCCAGAGCTGAACACAAGTTGAGTGATCTAGAAGTACTCTGAGCCCTCTCTTCATTCTTGAAACTGCAGGTTTATCAATAGTAGCAGGAGATCACATTAGCATATCATACTGACAGACATAACTGACTCTCCTGAGTTTGTAGTCCACTAAGATCCCTAAGTCTTTTTGATGAGAAAGGCCATCCAACACTTAGCTACTCCCCCCTCATCCTGTACTTGCATAGCTGATTTTTTAAAAAATTCGAACACAGAACTTTACATTTAGTCCTATTAAATTCCACTTTAAAAATATGTGGCTTATTGTTTTAGCCACCTGAGACACTTTTAGGTCCTGATTTTACTGTCCATGTCAGTCCTTCTCCCTGTTTCATGCCACATGCAAATTTATTAAGCATATCATTTCTACCTTATGTAAGGCAGAAGTTTTACAGATGATCTTTTCTGTGTCATGAGCCCCCTTTTTACAATCTGGTGAGGCCTATGGCCCTCTTCTCAGAAGTGTTTTTAAATGCATAAAACACACTGTATTACAAAGGAAATCAATTACACTGAAACACAGTTATCAAAGCATTAATTAAAACAAGTTCCCAGACCCCAGTTTTAAGAACCCCTAGGCAAACTAAATAAATAAACCCTCCTTAGTCATTGAGAAACATGCAGTACACAAAGACAGATTTATTCTAAGCTCTGCCACTAATTTGTTATATGACTTTGACCAAATTGGTTGAGGGCCTTAGTTTCCTCAACTGTAAAATGAGGAATTTAGATAAGATGAATTCTAACATTTCAAGAATGAAGCAGCTTGGTATACTGGGAAAGAAGAATGGTTTTCAAGTCCCAAGATGGGACTCAGATCCCATCTCTTCTGCTTACTATCTATGTGATTTTAGGCAAGTCAATTTCCCTCTCTGGGCTTCGGTTTCCTGGTTAGGTAACTTGATGAAGCTGGCCTTTAAGGTCCCTTCCATTTAGAATCCTCATCCTGAGTCTATGACCCTGATTTCTAGGCCCAGGGTCTAGCAGGGAACTTAAAGGGGTTAAAAAAAAATGGGAAAAACTATTGGCTTGGGGAGTCTGGGGGAGTAAATAAATTTGCTATCCCTTGGTAAGTAGAGCAGACTGAACATCTACATTTCCATTCCAAAGGAAAAGCATGAATCTCAGAAGCCAATTTCCTTTCCTTTGCCCCTAGTTTCTCCCCTTCCCCCACTTTTGTTCCTTCCCCACAGGACAAAATGCTACAATCACTTGCAAATCAATGAGCCAATATTTATTATCTATTATGAAGGTATCAGTAGGGGTGTAAAGACAGATAAGGTTTAAAGGGTTGGTTGGGGTTAGATACTGGAAAAGGTTTGGACTTTATGATGAAAGGGGGAAGGGAAAGGTTAGGAAATTTATCTGGCTAGCATGTGGAGGGGAGAAGGGGCTGGAGGCAGGAGGCCAGTTTGGAGGTTATTGTAATAGGCCCAGGGATAAGACTTTGGTCGGGGTAAGTGAATGACAATCTGTCCCCGCAACAAAAAGAGCCAGGTTATTGATAAATGAAAAGTACTGAACTAGCAGGAAAAAAAACTACCCCACCCTCTCCTGGCCTCTTTATTCTAGGAGCAAGTTCCTCTTTTTCACACTGAACTGAGTGTAACAGCTTTGTTGATTCATTCATCATACTCCTCACTCCTCTGAGCCAAGTTATGACTTGTAAGGGGGGTGGAGATGGGAGTTGGGGAGGCAGGGAATAAGTCACAGAATGGGGTAATAAGTTCTAACTTGTAAGTCAAGTAATAGAGTTGGGGGAGAAAACTAAATCGAAGAAAGGGTCAGGGAAGAGGCCACAGAAAGAAACAATTCAATTTGATTGAACAAAAATGATTTATTATGAGAATTTGTTAAACTCCTATTATGAGCAAGGTTCTGTGCTAGACTTCAGAGAATCATGAAGGTTGGAGTTTCCAAGGGCTACCCCACACAGGGCAAGTCACTAGAGCCTTCCGTGCCTGGAGGCAATGGCCTGAGGCTAAATGGAGAAATTAGTGCCGATTTGCTCTGGTTTGGGGAAATTTCCTGACTGGCAGTTTACTACACTAAGGAAATTTCAGGTGTGGTAAAACAACAACAATAACAAGAAAGAGACAGCCTTCAAGGAACTTTCATTCTACATTTGTAAAATGGGGATAATAACGGCACTATTGATTTCCCTGGGTTGCAGTAAGGATAAAATAAGATATTTGTAAAGCAATTAGCAAACCACTATATAAATGCTAGCTGTGATTATGGTTATTGTCATCATCATCATCACCATCACGGTGCAGGTAAGTGTAATACAAGGTAGAGTGTGATTGGAGGGACCCAAACAAAATGCTGAAGGAAAACTTGAGGATGATTTTACACTGAGAGGGAGAGGCTGATGGGGAGAGGCAGGGAAAGAGGGAAGTGGCATCTGAACTGCAGAAAGAGATGTTCCATTTTCCAGGCCCATTTTGGGAGCGCAGAATGAGGGTGGGGAGGCCCAGCGTCCAGCCCAAAGCCACCTTACCTCCCTTTTCCACCGTGCCAGCCACTCATCTCTCTTGCGTTTACTGATGTAGTAGGGATCCCCAGCCTGGAAGGTGAGTCGCTGCATGGGCCGCTGTCGAAGACTGGACTCCCAGCCCAGGCCTCCCCGTAACCGTCCCCGAGCTCCCTAGGAAGGGGGAGAGAGGCAGACAGACAAACAGACAGACATTCAGGAAGGTGTTGGCGCTCTCTCTCTCTTGCTCTCTCTCTCCCCCTCCCTCTCTCCCTCTCTTTCTCCCCCTCTCCCTCTCTCTCTCCCCCTCTCCCTCTCTCTCTCCCCCCTCCCTCCCTTCATTGTCACCAGGGTTCACTATGGCTAGAAGACAAACAGAGAAGGGACTATTAGAAAGTCCCTGCAAAAAAGGAATGGAACTACTGTGACCCGCAGACCAGAACCCTTGGTCTTGGGCCTCAGAGATCCTCTAGAGAAGCACTAAATTAAGGAGTTAAGAGGGTCAGATAAGATGATATGTGCACAGCATTTTGCAGACTTTCAAGTGCTATGACCACCACCATCATCATTATAGATGAGGAGTTTTGTGCACAGACATCCACCAGCCAGAAGGGAGAGAGCCATTTACTAGCAGTGCAACCCTGGATGAGTCACTTAACCTCTCTCAGCTTCAGTTTCCTGACTTGCAAAATGGGGATAACAATAGCACCTAGCTCCCAGTATTATTTGTGCAGATAAAATGAGATGTTTGTGAAGTGCTTTGCAAACCTTAAAGCACTCTATAAATGCTAGCTATTATTATTAGGAGGGGAGAAGCACGAGAGGCCAAACTGTAAGCCTTTGAGGCTATAGTCATTTCGCAGATGAGGATGCTGAGAGGTGAACTTGTCCAAGGTCCCAGAGGTAGTAAATGACAAGAGTCAGGATTTGAACCCCAGTGTTTTAGCTCCAAACCCAGTGCCCTTTCCACAACTAACAACTAACATGAATAACTCCCTCATCCCTTTCCTATATAGTGATTAAGAATGGAGAAGGTAGAGTTAGGCTATCCTCGGTGCTCCCCCAAGTGACCTGTCCAAAATGATGGCCCCCTCCTACGGATCTCCTCCAGAGAATGGAGAGGGAAACTCTTTAGGCTTCTCTCCCTTCTTAGGATTAGGACCTAGAGACCAAACTGCCCTTGTGAGTTGGGAGCAAATACTTGCCTCCATTTTCACAGAATCAAAGTGGGTTTCCTCCTTCTCTTCTTTGCCTGCAGAGAGAGAAGAGCAAGGGCTCATCAAATTGATCCTCACTCCCCCTGGGACCGGCATAATTGTTGGGGCAAGATCCTGAGGCCCAGGATTGTCCCCAAGAGGCACCTGGCTCCGGGAGGCCTCCCTCGGTCACTAGCCTGGGTAGATCCAGCTCTGCCCTTCCCCTGTTAGCTAGAAGTAGGCACAGAGCACAGGGATTTTAGGGAGAGAGAATTAGGACAGAAGCTGCTGAGGCGTTTGGAGCTCAGTCCTGAGCGGGGGATCTGTAGTTGAGTCAGAGCTGTGGTTTCCTGTACATTGTCTGTCTCAGATACACAGAAAGCAGCTATAAATAACTGCTTCTCACTGCCCAGGTGCAGAGTAGGGAGGACAAAGGTAGGAGTAGTCAGGAAAGGTCAGGGTATGGAAAAGAAAGCGGGGAGGGCCCACATGCTTGTGAATACCCTCCAGGCCTTTCCATGGGGTCCAAAAGGGATCGTTTGCCTGTGTGTTATTTAGGAGTGTGTGGGAAGGTGTCTGAGCCAGCTACTCTGTGTGTGTGTTCATGTGTGTTCTCTCCTGTGTGATGACAGGTTTTCAGACCTCTTGCAAATATTATGCAGGGAAGAGAGTGGAAGCCAAGAGGGCTGGTTCCACATTCATCTCTGCTGCTAATTGGTTTTATGACCTTAGGAGCATAGATTCTGTGGCTAGAGGATGGATGTCTTAGCAGCCACCCAGTCCAACCCCTCTCCTTTTATAGATCGGGAGACAGGCTCAAGGGGTGAAGCATTCTGCCCAAGGGGCAGAGCAAGGATTTAAACCGAGGCCCTCAGACTCCAAATCCAGCATTTTCCCGGCTCTTCTACTCTAACAGCTCACAGCCTCTTCAGGGCTGTGTAATTAAATGTATTCTATGTCAAACTGGACGATAGGAGGGGATCCTTTAATTTTGTAGCCTGTGTCCCCCAAGGGCTAGTTTTGCCCTTTTGACAAATGGCCCACAGCGGTTCTCTCTGGCCTGCATTCCTTCTCAGACTGTGCAAATAGCTTTGCCTTGCTTATCCATCCAGGTTTCTGAGAAATCTGATTCCAAATAGTAGCAGTAGCCAAAGAACCTTGGCTACCTTGGCTGCCTCCTCATTTTACCACGGTCCCTCTCTTGTGGTCACAATTCAGAAGGGAGATTCTCTTGGAATCTCCGTGCCTCTTCTACTTCCTGAAAGGGCCCTCAGCATCTCGGACTGCATCTCTGCCCTTCCCAGGCCCAGCCTTCTAGCTGGCTCTGGAGCAAGGCCAGGCACTGCTTTGTGAGGCTGCTGCTTCCTCCCTCCCAGCCCTTTCTCTCTAGGTCCAACCAGCTGGCTTCAGGATTAGGTTATTTACTCATTCCCCAGTTTCCGGCCAGGGGCTCATTCCCCTCAGTTCCCACTTAGGGGCCCTGGCTGCTTTCTTTCAGAGAGAGAGAGAGTATTTGAGTTGAAGTTTGAGCTCATGGCTGGAGGTTGTGTCGGAGACTTCTGGGGGTGAGGAAGGGGGGGCAGGTGGGAAATGGGAGGGGTGCATGAAGCCTGTAATAAAACAAAACAGCCCCCACTTGCTACTGCAGCTCCAAAACAGAAAAGCAACTAACTAGAATATCAGGTCAACTAGAATGCGGAGATCTTCCGTAGGGATCTTTCCCACCCTCTAACCTCCACTTGGGGTTCTTGCCTCCATCTAAATGCCCATGGATGTCCCTCACTACTCCCTTTCCGGAGATTGTGCTCCCTGGGACTCTAAACCTCTTTCCCTCATATACCCATGACCCATAGCCCCCAGATATCAATAGTCTCATGACCCAAACTAGTTGTGAAGATTCACCTTGCCATAGGCTGGGGTGGGAGGATAAGAGGAGACAATCAAGAAATATCCAATGGGGGAATGGGGTGCATTCTACTCCACAGAAGAACCCCACCAAACCTGCTAGGTCTATAACCCCAGAAGTTGTGCTGAGCCTGGAGGGTGAGGGTACACATGGGAATAAGAAAGAATATGTGTGGGTGTGCATTTTGCTATGGGCTAGCCTGTGTGTGGGGGGGGGAGGCGGATTGTGTGGATGTTTTGAAACTCTTAAGTGACTTTTCATCCTTATAGACCTTTACGGTTTTCTCCTAGTTTATCTGTTTCCACCTTCCCCTGCTTTACTTCCCCTTACTCTAACCACAGCGTCTCCCTGACTTTTCCTCTGGTTTCAGCATGGGCCTCTTAGAAGATTTCCTTCCCACAGTTCCCTTCCTCACCTGAGAATATTTCCTAGGGCCCCCACCTCTCTTCCCTGGCTGCTTGGAAGGGCTTTGGTTACCCCCTTCTCAGGACACTGACCCTTAGACCTGGAAAGTCTTGAGCCGTAATCCCAGCTCTGCCACAGTGGGACCCGAGACCAGCTGTCGCTTTTGTACAACTGGAGGGATTTGCAGGAATCTGACACAGCATCTGTGTTGGATCCAGGCCTTAGAGCAAGGTCACACAGGTTCCTACATCCACCATCTTTTTTGTTTGACCAAGATCCCAAACTATACTGAATCCTGCACTGAAAACGTTTTTGGCCGTTGATTAAATGTCAGGCTCCCTTTCTAAATCAATTCTTTTTTTTTTTTTGCTAGGCAATGGGGTTGAGTGACTTGCTCAGGGTCACACATCTGGTAAGTGTCAAATGTCTGAGGTCAGATTTGAACTCAGGTCCTCCTGACTCCAAGGCTGAAGCTCTATCTACTGCCCCTCTAAATCAATACTAAAGCATCCCTTTTCACCCCACCCCAGTCAGAATTCTAATCCTCTAAGAAATTCTCCCACTTTCTTCTCTCCCCAGATGTCCTTGATCATGCAGTCACAGATTTAGAACTGGAAGGGTCCTCAGAGGCCATCTAGGCCAACCAGCACCTGACCTGGAACCTCCTCCATGACACTGATAACCAGTGGTTACTGGACTTTGCCTATAGATATTTAGTGAAGGGAAATCCACTACCTACAAAAACTCTAGTCTTTTGGAAGTTTTTCCTTGCATCAAGTCAAGTCAGCAAACTTTTATTAAGCACCAGGCACTGTGTATCTGCCTCTTGGCTTCTTGTACCCACTGTTCCTAATCTTGCCTTCTAGGGCCAAGCAAAGCAAATCTAATCCTTCCACATGACAGCCCTTTAATTACTTGAAGACATCTGTCATGACACCCCCTGGGTCTTCTCTCTAGGATGTATAGTTTCAGTTCCTTCAACCTCTCTTTGTATGGCATGGTTCTTTAGTTCTTTCTCTACTCTGCCCATCCTTCTCTAGATGTCCTCTCGCTCATCAATATCTTTCCTAAAATGTGGAACCCAGAATTCAGTACCATATTCCAGGTGGGTTCTGACCAGGGCAGTACACAGTGGAACTATAAATCTCCCTTGTCTTCGTCCCCCTAGCTTTCTTAATGTAGGCAAAGATGCATGTGTTGTTTCTTAGGCACAGCCTCCCTATCTTGGACAAAAGAGGTCTTTTCCAGCCTGATACTATCATGTAGCAGACAAGATATACTTGGCATGAACTAAAGGCACTTTTCTTTCCCTCTCATGTCTATCTGCCCTCTAGTTCTGACCTAGGCCCTTAGGGTTGGTGTCTGCTTTGTAGGAGGTTGACTAATATGACTCCAATATCGGTTCAAGTCCTGGGGGTACCAGGAAGAGGAATTTAGTTCTGAGATCAGTCTGGGAATGTTAGCCTGTTATATGGAGGTCCTGAAGAACAACCATCTTGACCCTATTTGAGATGTAACTAGATCACTAAGACTGAGATAGCACTAGGTCAGCCTCTAAGAAGGAGTAACATTTGCCCTGGTCACAGTGCTCTGTTTGGACCTCAACTATTTTACTGGCTAGGAATTGAGGGGTCAGCTAGGAAGTTCACACCTGCCCAAATAATGGCTCTGGCGCCTCCCGGTGGAATATCTGTCTTCAGAGATCCTTTATTCGCCTCTAGCCCGTTTCCTCATTCCTAAGGTCCTCACATGGATGATAGGCAATGCATGGGTGCACTAGGAGAGGTTACCCTCTAAGCAATCAACTGATGGATAGAGAAGCAACAAAGGATGCGTGGGTCCATTGGGAAAGCCTCCTCTAAGAGCCTTAGGAGAATTTTAGGAGAGAGCCTGTGGGACTGGGGCTAAATACTTAGCACAGAGATTGAGATCCACATCCTCATCTTTCTGGACAAGTTATTTGACCACTACAAAGTTAAGTCTCTTCATCTGTCAACTGAGAGGAATGAACAAGATGATCTCTGAGGATCTCCGGCTCTCAGAAAATATTCATACAGGATGCTGGCAAAGTGGGATTCTTTCAGTCCCTCGACAACTCCACAACCCACCCACATAACCACCAACGTGTCAATAATAACCCTACACAAAGCCGAAACATCTCTGCAGTGGCTCAGTGATTCCCACTTTCCAAACAGCTAAGCAATCCCACTAGGATCTTTAGTAATCCCGCAGCAAATTAAGAACAGAAAACAGCTCAGTCTCTGAGGCAGCTGGTGGTGATGTGGATAGAGTGCTGGCCCTGGAGTCAGGAAGACCTGAGTTCAAATCTACCTGCAGATGTTTATTAGCTCTCTGATCCTGAGCAAGTCACTTAAGCTCTCTGTGCCTCAGTATCCTCATCTGTAAAATGGGGATAATACCTTGTGGGAATGAACGAGATAATATTTGTAATAAGCATTTAGCATAGTGCCTGACAAATAGTAAGTATTATATAAATAAATTCTTATTCCCTTCTCTTCCCTTCTTCAAGTCTTTCTCCTCAACTTGACAGTGGCAGCCATAAGATCTCTGCTTTTTAGGTAGTGGGAGGCCTGGACACCTCTTCCTAACATACTCAGCACCAAGACAAAAAGGAGGCCAAAGATTCTGGGAGCCCTTGGGAGCAGAGACACCGGCAAGACCAGAGACAGAAACCAGACTCTTCAAAATACACACAACAAAGAGAAAAACGGCCAAGGTCAACACGATCACAGAATAGCTTTCCTGGCTCTGAGCCCACACTGGTCCTAGCAAAATGGTGCCCCACAACAGAAGACTTCAGTAAATACATCTGGGTCTCTCCAAATTAAATGGTAAAGAGGTTAGAAAGGATCATAGGACTGACTCCAAGTCTAGTATTCTTTCCACTGACATCATACCAATAGCCTGGATAGTGATGCCAGGCTCCCCCTCCCCTTGCCCCAGGGCTCAGCAACCATTCCAAGGTCACCAAGGTCACTTTCCAACGCCTCTTCTAGGCTCTCTTCCAGTTAAACTATTCCCTTACCTATTTATCCTATGAAAAAGCTGACAGATCCAGGATAGCTCCCTGTCAGTTCTCCCAGACTCAATCCATAATCTGGGGGATGGAGCCCTTGCCTGCCAGGATTCCATTCTCCAAAGGGAACTAAGTGCTCACTCAATCCACTAAAAGAGAATAGTTCTATTTAAAGGGAAGATGCAAGTGGGAGGCGAGGGAAGGGCCAGGGGACCTAGGCCTAGGCGGTTTGAAGGACCTGGCTTTCCCTGTCTCACTCTTCCTAAATCTGGAATATGATTCACTTGGTTGATTTTTTTTAAGACACAGGATCATGGTGTTTTCTCTAAACATTGGATTTGGATACAATTATAATGGATTATACTAATTAATTTACTTATTTCATCTTATATAGTTTCAAGGAGGGCCTCTCAAAATTGAGATGCACTTACACAAAACATGCAAATTACTAGTGATTCTACAACTCTGCCTAGCAGTGAGTTGCTTGAACCTGACAGAGAAATGGAGGCTGTAGTCTAGAACTGCATAAACAGAAGCTAGCAGGAGGGAGCAGCACTCCGTCCTCTGTGTATGGCCACATCCCAGAAGGGTCTGTATCACACAAGCTCCCATGAGCTTAGTGTCCATTCTGGGACTCTCTTAGGACCTCTAGTTACAATCCTTCCTCTTCTAATGCTTCCATGATTTAATTTCCCATTTTCCAGCCAGGTAAACTCATATCCCAAGTACAGCAGGCTCAAAGCATCTTTACTGGGAAAGAATACAATGGCCCTTAACTTTCACAGCTTCATCCAAGGCCAAGGGGTAGGAAAGCAGAGCAATTGGATAGATAGAGCATACTCATAATCTACTACCCCCAAACACCAGGCTCCTCAAGATCCCTAGTACCCAAACTTCTGGTGCTTCCTTGTCTCCTAGAATGCAGAAAAGGGGGATAGATCAGAGTCCAGGGGTGGGGAACCTGCAGCCTCGAGACCCTCAGCAGCTTCTTCAAGTGCCAGCCTGCAAGCTCCATCTTGTTCTCCATTCTGGATTCATTGCTGGGCCCACCCCTAAGGCCTCACTGAAATTCATGACCCCAGTACCTTAAGAATACCCCTGAGAAAAATTAGAGACTAGAGGGACATAATGCTTAAGTTAACAGGTCAACTGAGGACTCACCGCCCACAACGGGGGCTTCTTGCCCATCCTTGGGGGTACAGCAGCCATTCTCCAGGGTGCGGGCAGCCTCTGGGGTGCTTTCTGCCTCTGCCTCTCCCTCAGCCCGTGCCCCGCCCTTTCTCCCAGCAGGGCTCCCTTCCTCTGGCTGGGGCTCACTGAGCTTCTCCACATCCCCATTGGGCAGCAGCTCTGCAGGACTGGTGTCCTGAGCCATGGAGGGGGACTTTGAAGTCGCGGCAACGTCCTTAGGGGTGTCGCTGTTTTCCACCTTAAGAGATGAGAGAGAAAAAACACGGCAAGGTATTAGACAAAAAAGCAGTAAGTTTACTGGTTTCATTGTTCCTGATTCCCAGTTCCTGATTCATAAACTTGATACCCACCAAAAGCATACCCACCAAAAGACTCCAGTGCCTCCCAGTCTAAGGCTCTGATCTAAGTCCAATGCTTCTCGGACTATCAGAACAATCACACTGTTCTCCTAGTCCAGTCCCAATCGGATTCGAATGTCCTCAGTTTGACTCTGGTGTTCTCCCCTCTAATTTTAGTGCTTGGGACCCTCCCCTTACACACTCCCATCTCTTCACCTTTTCAAGGCCAAACCCCAATTCTAGGCAATGATTAACTGCCTGGGAGAGTAGGAAGGTCAGGGCCATAAAGCTAAGTTGTCCCATAAAGGGGCTTACCAAAGGGCCTTTCTGATCCCCAAATCAATGAACTCAACTCCACCCAGCCCCATGGTCCTTTAAAATAAGTGTGATAACTAGATTGACACGGGAATGGATGGGGGTGGCAATCTCCCTCTTATCACCTGTTGCTTTAAAGTTGTTCTTATCCCTAAGAAACCATCTAGGGGTTACAGGTAGGGTGACCGCTCCTTGACACACCTACTGCTGCTCACAGCATTGGAACCTGGATTACTTCAGGTCCTTCAGGATCTTAAAGGCAGGTCAAATTATTCACTAGGTAATATTTATCCTTAGCATCAGGGCAGATGAAAGAAAGAAATATGAGAAAGCATTAGACAGATAACATCAGGTTTGCCAACCTGGAGTTACAGTCTACAAGCCATAATCTAAAATGTCCATGAAGGGACTGGTTTGCCTCTCAAACAGACTTCAGTGCTTTCCAATGTCCACACCCTATGCCTGGACCCTGTCTTTCCCTCCCTGTCTACCTCTCCACCCCTGTGGACCTCCTTCCATATCAGCATGATCTGGTGGAAAAAGCTGTGAATTTGGAGTCAGGGGACCTGACTGTGCTGCTTACTGCTGGTGTAACCTTGGGTAAATCATTCAATTTCTCTGGGCCTCAGTTTTCTCACCTGTAAAATAGGGAGACTGGACTCCTTCAGCCTCTTAACAACAATAATAGCTAGCATTTATAAGAGCTTTAAGGGTTGCAAAGCTCTTTACATATGTTAATTCCTTTGATCCTCATAACACCCCAGTGAGGGAGTTGCTATTACTCCCATTTTACAGGTGGGAAAACTGGAGGCCCAGAGAAATTAAACTACTTGCCCAAGGTCATATAGCTAGTAAGTGGGTAAGGCAAGATTCAAACTCAAGTCTTCTTGACCCCAAGTTGGCTACCCTTTGATCATATAAGTCTTAGGAGTGCCCTTTTTTCCTGGTGTCTTCTAGCTGCTTTCTTGTATCTACCCTTCCAATAAAATTTCAGGTATCATAATCTCATTCCTGCAAGGCTCAATGAGTCAGTGAGCCAATCTGATGCAAACACAAAAATATAAACCAGTCCTTGTCCTCAAGGAGCTTCTGTTCTAATAAAGAGAGGGGGGAAAACAACACCACGTACACAGACAATTAAATACAAAATATATACAAAATGCTTTGGGGAGAACACCAAATAATTGGCTGAGGGGAGACGGATGCAGAAAGATCTCATGTAGGAAGCAGCACTTGGTTAGACCTTTAGAGGGAGCTAAGGATTTTCAAAGCCAGAGATGAGGTGGTGCAGCATTACTTAGGGATGAAGAGGGAAAGTATTCTACTAGAGAGAGAGCAAATAGGACTATTTGCCTAGAATGTTGATTTCACGGGAGAGGGATGTTAATGGGAAATCCAATTGGTAACAACCATTTACTGAACTAAAATGAAAGACAAGGAGGAGCAAGATTGCAAAGAGTTTTAAGTACTCCCCCACCCAAAAAAAAAAGAGGTTAAAAAAGAACTTGTGTTTTTTCCCTAGAGCTGATAGGGTGTTTATGGAGTAGGTTAGTGCCAGGGTCAGCTTTGTGCTTCAGGAATGTCACAGGCAGCTGTGTGGAAGACGTGCACAACACCTGAATCAGGGAGACCAATGAGAAGGCTATTATAATAATTATCCAGGTGAGATGTGAGATGGGTCCAAACTTGGGTAGTGATCATGTGAATGGAGAGAGGGAGGTAGATTCAAGAGATGTTGTATAGGTGAAATTGACAAGACTTGACAAAATGACTGGATTGAGGAAGATAAGGAAGAGTGAAAAGTCAAGGGTGACAGAGAGTTGCAAACCTGGGTGACAAAGAATGGTGGGATTCTCAACAGAAATAAGGAAGTGAGAAAGAAGTTGGGGCTTAAGGGGAAAGATAATAAGTTCTGTTTTGGAGAAACTGAGTTTGATATGCCTATGGGGCACTCGGGTGAGAATGTCCAGCAGCCAGTTGACCATGTGGGACTGGAGATGCAGAGAAATGAGGGTCAAATGTGTATATTTGGGAATATCTGCCCAGAGATAATAATTGAACTCATCGGAGCTAATGAGATCACCTAGAGAAAAGATATGGTATGATGAGAGAAAAGGGGGTAGGATGGTGCTCTGGGGGTACAACCATAAAAAGAGGATAGAGGCATGGATGATGATGCAGCAAAGAAGAGTGTGGAGTACCCAGCAGGTCGGTCAGAGTGCTTTCAGCAGACAGCCCCTCTATAATTATCCCAACCATTGCAAATGCCTCCACTGAATTTTTGTCTTCAGTCAAACAGAGGAGAGGATATTGACAAGCTGAGAAGGACCCTTCTTCCCTTACTCCTTAGAGCTCCAGTTCAGACATACAGATATGAGGTTGGTACAATATGGCTGGACCTACTTATGTTTCTCTATTCTCTACTATAGTTGCCAGTTAGAAAGTGTCCCTTGAATCCTCCATCCTGTGGACCTGTTGGTGGCATGGTGAGTTATTCAACTAGGTTGGAGTGAAGGGAAATGTAATGAAATGAAGCTGGAAAAATGAAACAAAGCTAAAGCGAGATTGTTGAGAACCTTGCATGCTGCGCTGAGGAGTCTGAACTTTTATTCAGTTGGTAATGGGGAACCACTGAAAGTTTTGGGGCAGGGAAGGCAGCTGCATTTTAAGAAGAATGATTTGGCAATGCTGTATAAGATGGATTGGAGGGAAGGAGACTTGGGGAACAGTTACAATAGTCTAGGGCTCTCCTATTACCTTTACCCCCAAAGTCAGACTTTTCTAGAGTTAGAGTTAAAATAGAAAAAAACTTTACACATATAAGTAATAATAGATCATTTCAACTACCATAGAGTTAAGAGTGAGAAGATACTTAGAGACCCCAAATCCCTCATTTTACAGATGGCAAAACTGAAGCCCAGAGAAAGGACTAGATATTCCCAAGGTTACATAAATTACTAGGATTTGAACCTGACTCCAAATCTAGACCACCCTGGTTCCCATAGGAAGAAAACAGTCCCCTCAGAACTAGATCAGCTCTAAGGTCTGTTCCAGTGCTAAGATTTTCAGATTGATTACTGCTGTCTAATCTGGAGCTATAGAAGTCTGCCAGGAAAAGTAAAAGAAGGGAATAAAGACTCAGTTATTGATTCAACAAACATTTATGGAAGGAGGATGTTAGGTCCAACTTGAAAATCAATCAATCAATTTATTAACATTTATTAAGTCCCCATGTGCCAGGCACTGTGCTAAACTCTGGGGATACAAAAAAGAGGCAAAAGATAGCCTCTTTTTCAAATCAAGCTACATACAGGATAAATAGGAGATAATTAACAAAGGAAAAGCACTGGAACTAAGAAGGTGAGGGAGGGAGCATATTTGAGAGATGTTGCAAAGATGAAATTGACAGAGCTGGGCAACAGCTTGGATATGGGGTGGGGGTGAGATAGTGAGGAGTCCAGGATGATTCCTTGGTCATGAGCCTGAGGGACTGTGAGGATGCTATTGCCCTCTAGAGTAGCAGGAAAGGTAAGGGGGGGCTCAGTTTAGAGGTAAAGATAATGATTTCCCTTTTAGACATGTTAAGTTTAAGATGTTTACTGGACATTCAGTTTGAGATTCTGAATGGCAGCTGGAGATTAGAGATTGAAGATCAGCAGAGAGACTGGGTCAAGAAAGGTAGATTTGAGAATCATCAGAACAGAGATGCTGATGAGATGATCACCAAGTGAAATAGTGTAGCAGGAGAAGAGAAGAGGGCCCAGAGCAGAACCCTGAAGGACACCTACAGTGAGATGATGTGATCTGAAGGAGGACCCAGCAAAGGAGGCAGAGAAGGAACGGTCAGATAGGTGGGAGGAAAACCTGGAGAGACTGGTGTCCCAAAAACCTAGAGAAAAGAGTGTCAAGGAAGAGAAAGTGATTTACACGTCAAAGGCTGCAGAGAGGTCAAGGAGAATGAGGACTGAGAAAAGGCCATTGGATTTGGCAATGAAGGAACTGTTAGTAACTTTGGAGAGAGAAGTTTCATTGGAATGATAAATTTGAAAGCTGGATTATAAGGGGTTAATAAGAGGGTGGGAAGAGAGAAAGTGGAAGTGCTAATTGTACACAGCCTTTTTGAGTTTAGCCACAAAGGGCAGGTGAGATAGAGGATGATAGCAGGGATCGAAGGATCAAGCGAGAGTTCTTTCGAGATGGAGAGACATGGGTATGTCAGTAGGCAGTAGGAAATGAGCCAGCAGACAGGAAGAGATTGAAAATAAGTGAGAGAGTAAGGATGACAGTGAGGATGAGGGGTAATCTGTTGGAGGAGATGGGATGCAATGGGATTGTTTGGGCAGGTAGAGGGGTCCATCTTGGGAAGGAGTAAGGCCACTTCATCATGTAAAACAAAGGTGAAAATGTAGGTGCCTGAGTGATAGGAGATGAGGAAGAGGGAGAAGTGGAGGTGCATGATGAATGACCTCAATTTTTTTCTGTAAAATATGAAGCAAGGTTCTCAGCTGAGAGGAGGGGGAGGGGGAACCATGAGAGGTTTGAAGAGGGATAAAAACATTTGGAAGAGCTACTATGGAGAGTGGGA